CCCGCCTGCCCCCCACCCCTGTCTCTCTCCCACATTCGGGCTCCCCCTGCCCCCATCTCCCCTGGGACTGACCTCTCCTCTTCCTCCCAGAGCCCCCTCCTCCCAGCCTCCCCTGGTGACTGGGGACTGGAGCCCCCTCCCCATCTCCCCTGGTGACTGGGGACTGGAGCCGCCTCCCAGCCTACCCCTGTTATCCATTCAAAAGTCCCAGTGAATTGTGCTTGTCTGAGAATGTCCCCTCCACCCATAGGGAAGGCCCCACCTTGTGCGCTCAGCCCTATTACTTTCCCCAGCAGAGGTACTCACATTTCCCAGCTCCAGGGGTCCTCCTGTTCCCCCTCCCACTCTCCCCCTCCCCCTGGCCTCCTCCTCGCTGCCCCCACCCCATCCTCGCCATCCCCACCCTGGGCATTGGGGACGCAGTACAAGCCTGGACAGGCCTAGCTTTGGACAGAGACCCACAGATCCATGCGCAGCTCGGCCAGGACCACCGCCACCGCCCCCCACCCCCACCCCCACCCCGCACTCTCCCCACCTCCTCACCCCCCTTCACCGGAGCCCCTGTGATTGCCCACCCTGGCTGGCTGCAGCCCAGGGAGCCAGGAGGTGATGGCCAGGGCCCCCACTGCTCACACCTGGGGGACGCACCTGCATGTCCACACTGCACCGTGTCCGGCAAGTGCACCCATTCTCCAGGGTTTGTCTCCAACTCAGGGGGGGAGGAGGGGTGGCCGGTGGGCCCAGGCAGCCTCCAGGAAGAAGCAAGTTGTCTCCTTTTCTTGGTTAAGGGCACCACCTTCACACAGATGTCCCAGTGGGAAATCACTGGGTTATCCTAAATTCTTTCCACCCTCCTCAGCGTCCAGGAGGTCACTGAGGCCTGCAGGGCCCCTCGGTGACCTCCTAATCCACAAGACTAGGCCTGCAGAAAAGGAGTCGTCCTCATCTTCCTATTGCCCAATGTCATGTTTTGCCCCCATTCTGCCAGGGTGGTGGCAGAAACTTCATCTCAGCCAGTTGGGGGACCCACCCTTTCCCCAGAGGCGTCTGAATAGCTTGGGGGGGTGGTGTGTGTGTAGGGAGCTCAGGCCTTGAAGGGGAGGGCATCTGCTCCCTGTCCACACTCACCTGTCCCCTGCTCACCTGTCTACACCCACCTGTCCCTGTTCACCTGTCCCCTGCTCACCTGTCCTCCTGTCGCCCCTAGAACCAGGGTGACCAGGCCTTGCAGAGATTTAGCTTCAAAGCCACATTCTTTTCCCAACCACCAGCCACCCCCAGACTCCGCTCTGCCAACGCCAGTTCACCCACCAACATTCAATGTGGGTGTTACTTCTGCAGGGAGACTCCCCTGGGGCACCCACCCCTCCAGACGAGGTTGGGCACCTGTGGGGTGGCACCTGGGGCCTCCTGGACCCTCTTTTGTAGTCTCATCATGAGTGCTGTTGAATGACTACATGAGCATCTGTTTGTCTAATTTCTGTCTGCCCTGTGTGTTGAGAGCACCCACAGGTGCGGCCAGTGTTTGTCTTCTTCACTCACTCCGTGTGGTAAGGAGACCAACAGATATTATCTGGGGGGCAGAAAGGAAGATGATGCGTTCCACCCGGCCCTGGAGAGGCTGTGAGCACCATGATCTGAGATGCGCTCTGCGGGCGGATCTCCCAGTGGGATCCTGACTCTCCCCTGACCAGTGCGGGGCCCTGGGCAACATGCAGAAGCCCCCCCAGCAGAGGGTGGAGGGGATGACGCTGGCTCGTGATGATGGCAACTGACCCTGACTGGGGGCTCACTTGGGGATGACAGCCAGGCCGGAACTTCACCTGGAGAGGTCATTAAACCTCCAGTCCAGGTGGGTATTCCTCCCAACCCCAGCTTACGGCGAGGAGCCAAGGGGACCAGAGGCTGGGAGTGAAGCTCGAAGACACGGTGTGTCCCGAGACTGTGAACACTAATGTTTATTCCTACAGCGAGTCATCTCCTCGGGGAGGCGTCTAATTCCTCTCGGGAGCAGACACGGCAGAGGCCCTGGAGGGAGGCACAGATGAGGCCACGGGGGAGGGGATAGGAAGAGAGAGGTGATGAGGAAAGAGGGAAGACGTCCTGGACGGGGTGGCCACAGGGGGCTTCTGGAGACTGCAGTTGGGGAGAAACTCCCCCAGAGGAGGTGGCAGAGGGACGTCATGGGAACAGTGTTCTCTGCCATTCAACTCTAAGTCATTCCCTGTGGAGGTCTGGGATGTGAAATTTCACACAGATTTCACCACAAAACGTAGTGAAGTCTGACGTGTAGATTAGTCCCTGGTGTGGTTCTGGGAGTGGTGGGGGCAGACTCCATGAGTTGAGGGCAGCGCCTGGGTGGGCGGCAGCAAGCATCCGGGGCCTCAAGTGCTGCCAACACCCATGGGCACTTGAAGCAGATGGTCCCAGCCAAGCCTCAGATGGGAACCCAGCCCTGGAGTCAGAGGACCCAGGGAGCTATGCCTGGACTCCTGACCCATGACACTGAGAGAGAATCGGTGCGTGGTTTTAAGTCACTGAGTTTGTGTTAATTCATTACACAGCACTTGATGACTAATTCACAGGGGAATCAAGGAGAAGAGGCTCAGCTTATGTCTGGGCAGTTGCAGGACAAGAAAACAGCAGCAGGAGAGCCACAGATGGAAGGTTCGTGCTCCCCAAATTCACAGGTTAAAACCTAACCCCGTGTGATGGTGTTAGGAGGTGGGGCTCTGGGGAGATGAGGGCATGGGGTGGAGCCTCTGATGGGATTGGTGGCCTGAGAAAAGAGGCCCCGGAGAGCTCCCCGGCCCTTCCACCACGTGAAGACGCAGCAAGAACATGGACGTCTGTGAACCAGGAAGCCCTCACCAGAACCCGAACCCGCTGGCACCTTGATCTTGGACTTCCAGCCTCCCGACTGTGAGAAATAAATGTCTGTTGTTTATAAGGCACCCGGTCTGTGGTATTCTGTTATAGCAGCCCAAATAGACTAAGACAGGGGGAAGCGTGCAATATTGAGCGATGCCATATATGAAAATACATTATAAGGATAAAAGAATTAAAATATTATGAATCTGGCATACGAGTGAACAAACATTATGAGATCAGAACAAAGAGTCCAGAAAAAAACCCAAATATTTACTGGATTTTGTATGTGATAAAGGTGGCACTGTATATCAGTGGGGAAAATAATAATCAATAAATAGTTTGGAGAGAACTAAACAGCCAACCAGAAAAAAATAGGTTGCATCCCTATGTCACTCTTTATACAGATAAATTTCAGATGAATCAAAGATTTAAACATAAACACTGACTGCAAAAGTAATAGAAGAAAAGTTGGGAAATATTTTATAATCTTGGTGCAGAGGAGGCCTTTCTAAGCATAAAACAAAATCCAGGAGACATAAATGTAAAAATGGATATATTCAACTACATAAAAAGGAAATTTTTCCACATAAAAAAACCCTACATTCAAAAGACAAACAAAAGAAATATATTTATAACACAGATCACAAAGGGCTAATTTCCTTAGCATGAAGATACCCAACTTCACTCAAAATAAGAACAATGTAAATTACAACTACACAGAAATACTATTTTTTACCTATCGGGTTAGCAAAAATCCCAAAGTCTGATAACATCGTTTTAGTCACAGTGTGGGAAATAGGCAGTCTTGTGCATTGCTGGTGGGAGTGTAAACTGACATGGCCTCTACTGAGACTAGTTTGGAAAAACCCTATCAAAAATCTAAATTCGGGCCGGCCCTGTGGCTTAGCGGTTAAGTGCGCACGCTCCCGCTACTGGCGGCCCCGGTTCAGATCCCGGGCG